CGCGCTAACCACTCTGCTATACCGGCCCCCAAATATATTTAATATAGTGTAAATATAAGAATAGATGAGATTAAAAAGATAAAAATTTTGAAATCTGCCCATGGATTTTATCGATAGCTCAAAGAGTTAACTCAGCTGGTGCTCAAGAGGTGATCCTCTCTTAATCCGATACTTAATACTCGTATTCTTGTATACCAATCAAACACAGGTACTACAAAAATGAATATATTTGAAAGGTAATAAACCATGTTGCACAGGGACAGATTAAGCAGTAAATAGATCAAGAGGTTCGAGGTTCATAAAATATCTTATACATTTAGGACATTACCACAAAAGATCAAAAAAAAAAAAAAAAAAAAAATTACATAAAACACCACCTCCAAATAGCTTTTTTTTTAGGATCCTCACTTAAGTTCCTGAATTTTCTTCATACCCTCTCCCTCATGGTGCAAGAAGGTTGTACTTATTGATAGAATATTAAAGTTATATATAGATTGCACCATCTCATCATCACATTATAAGTATTATAATGTTTGCTTGTACATAAATGGATGAAACCATAGTAAGCAGGAAACTATATCATGGCAGACCAGATGGTGCTCATTATGAGAGAGAACCTGAAGGAGGATAAAGGTACAGTTTGTTGGAGGATCCCAGAGCACTGGAATTCAGATTTTAAAAGTTTGTTTTAACGGCCATTGCTTACTTAACCCAGTCAGATAATTCTAACGTGCACATTTTCAATGCCGGATCAACAAAAATCAAGTGGTTTTTGAGAAAAATATGTAGATATGGCATTTTAAATATCGTCCAAATTTGCAAATCTTTTGCCACTTAGAAAGTGTTGAAGTGATTAGAATAGATAGTAATCCGATGGTACAACATCGGGCGAGTACAGTGTGTGAGGCAGTACTTCCTACCCCAATTCATTAATTTTTTTCTATGATTCGTCTTGCGTAGTGTGATCTTGCATTTTCGTGTTACAGAATAACGCATTTTCTCTTGTCAATCATTGGCCACTTTTTAATTAAAGATTGATATACACAATCCAGTTTTTCACAGTAAAGGTATGCCTTAGCAGCTTGCCCATGTTTCAGCTCTTCAAAATGAACAACGCCGCGAATACTCCACCAAACACACAAAAGGGCCTTTTTGGGGTGTAAACCTGACTTAGCAGTACTTTGGGACGATTAATTTCTAGAGAGCCACTGAATTTTGCATTTTGGATTATCATAGAGGCCGCATTTCTCATCTCCGGTGATCAAAAACCGCTTCTGTATCATGCCATTGAAGGAATAAGTTGCATGTGGTGGTTTCCAAGTCTACTACAAATGTTCTTGGATGTTCGATCAAGGTTACTTAAGACTGTTTGATGATTCCTCGATTGTCTGACACAGATTTGCTTCCACTTCTGCCCTTAACATGCCATTGTCTTATATTGTTGGATCAAAATTACCGGATTGGAACTTCGAAAACCACCATTGGCATTTACAAACGTTTAATGCATTTAGATAAACATTGCAAATGTTTTGGTGGCAACTGTTGCGTTAATACTCTTGCGAAACTCAAAAAACAAGCAATGCCGGATACAGAGGTGCCCAGAAGGGAGTTGACGCAACTTGCGTCATCAAAATTTTTGAGAAGGCATATTTTGGCAGAATTTTGAATTTGTAAGGGGATCACTTTCCAGCGGAGTTACAAATTTTCGGAACGAAAAGTTTCATTCTAAGGGACAAGGGAAAACATGGAAACCGCAGTAATTGTAATAACTCTACCTTCCCTTGCTCTGTTTTTAAGAAAAGGTGAGCAATAAAATATCTTGAGAGTGGGGAGTAGATAGGTTCTTGCGCCATTGACCTTGGGGGAGGATGGACACCCCTGGCCGGATATGTACCTCTTCTGGTATTTGACTGGCCATTTTGTCCAAAATTGCCAAACAAATTTTAATTTAATTCTTTACATCTAAACAAATCACTCTAACCTTAGAATGTTTTTCCAGACTTTGATGTAAACAATCAGCTGCAAAATTATGTCAAATAATGACATGCACAGAAACTGCATTACTTTCCAGGTCCTCCTAATATTCTTTTAATTGGTTGATTCAAACAGTATAATTAATTTATTTTTTAACCACCAATGATTTTATTAGAAATGTACCACGAATTCTCATCCTAAAATTTCAAGCTCTACTTTGCTCATGCATTATTTTTTTTTATTTTGATATTTATCATATCCATTATATTCTAATTTATTTCAGTATTTTTTATGTGGGAGTTGATTGAGAGGAAAATTATATCATCACTTATTTCTGCAGATAAATTTTCTCTAATTTATAAAAAATTATTATTGGGTTGGCAAATAAGTCCTTTCGGTTTTTCTGTTTATTTTTGTCACTATTATACACTTCTTATCTGATGAATTAATCCCTAAGGTGGATTGTTTATCCTGTTTGTAATATGTCCACAACTATATCTGTTAACTCTTTTTAAAACTAGTTCAGTATTTTCATTGCTATTCCACTGTGAATAGCAATCAATGGAATATGGAACACTGTGAATATGGAAGAAAATATCATTCATTATCGGCATATTTTGTTGTATTATTTTAAAAAAGATAAGCGTGCTGCAGAAGATCATAGAAAAATTTGCAGTGTTTATGGGGATGATGCCTTAACCAAATGCACCTGTCAAAATTGGGTAGCCATATTTCATTCAGGAAATTTTGACATCTATGATGCTCAACGAACGGTCTGGTCGCCTACATGAAATTGAAACGAGCAATGTTAAGGCCATTGTTGATCAAAATTCCACCCAATCAGTGCAAGAGATTGCTATTGCCCTAAATGTGTCGCACACAAGTGTAGAAAACCATTTGCACAAGCTCGACTATCTTTCCAGTCTTAATGTTTGGGTCCCTCATATGATTTTTTTCAAAAATCACAAAAAAATGTTATAACTTCAATACGACTTCAGCTATCTACAAGAAATTTAGCAGGAATTTAGGGCCACGTAAACTACACAAAATGACATCAACAGGACCTTTGTAAACAAACTAAAAATGGAGATAAAAAATAAAAACCTATAAGGAGTTTTTGTTTATTTATTCCTTATGCAGGTTTTAAATAAAAAAATATTCATAGGACTTTGAAGAGTAATAATTCAGCTTCCCAATAGATATAGTAACATCGAACTTGGAGAACATCCTGAAGAGTTATGAATGATCGGAAGTGTGTTGTGTTCTACCAAGACAATGCTAGGCCTCTGTTCACTAGGCCTAGCTCCAAGTGACTACCACTTATTCCGGTCTCTGTAGAACTCCATGAATAGAAAGAAATTTCAAAAGGAAGAGGACATCAAAAACTAATAGTGGACAAACAAATAGTGGAAAGATGGGAAAAGTCATATTAAATATTAAATAATGGTCAATATATTGTAGATTAAAATAAATTGTGTGTCTGTAATACATTGAGTTTTATTTCGCCCTGAAAAACCGAAAGGACTTATTTGCCAACCCACTACAAGCATTATGGTACAATGTTTAGTATCACTTCAAATTTTGTTCCATTTTATTGTAATTTGTATTCATTTGTGATTTAAAACATGAATGGAGTTTTAAAATAATTTTCTTATCCTTGATAGATTGATTCCTCCATCTTATGATATATTGTATTATTTTATTTCCTTACTGTTTTGTCATTTTTGACCAATATACTATGCAAATTATTTGCATGAGCCCACTCATTATTAGTCAACATTATTAATAATCATGAAGATTCGACTCACTAGAAATTCAGCATTAGGAAAGTAATAGATTCATGATTCAAAATTTATAGCAGAAGTACAGAAATGTAAATAACCTACTAAAAGTGTAATTTTATAAATGATTTGTTCTGGCGGGAATTGGGTGAATAGCCTTCTGCTTTTATATCAGGGATTTAGGTTATTTACACTCGTGATTATTAAAACAAAACCCTGGCACTGAATATAGACTTTTTGAGGGTGTTTAACTGTTGTTGGGAATTCGGGAATCTAATACCTTTTGTGACACTGAGTGAGAAGAAACAATTAGAATATATATTTGAAATGTGGGACTTAGTAAATACACTTTGAATGAATTGACTCACCTGGTTTGTTATTCTTCAATCTTGTGGCATATAGGACAACTAAATAAATAAATGACTTTTCACTCCTGTATAACAACATATGATTTATTCCTACAGCTGTAATAAATTGACTCTATTAAAGTGTTATAACTATAGACTTGATCTTCTAAATCTTGTAGTAGACTCTCTTCCCAGGTATTTGTTCAGCCTCACTGTCCAGCCTCAAGTCCCCTCTCTTCTGACAACCTCCTTTCTACTTGCCCCGGCCTAGAATGCCCTCTCCCCTTTCCAGCTGTTGCTACCTGCTGCTACCTTTTGGTGCCTCCAACCTTCTTCCTTCTTCATCGGTTATTGATCGATGAACAATTTGTCCACTGCACAATTAAGTACAATTCACAGTGCAATCTCACATTCCTATATATTATATATTCCTTCTCATTCCCTCACCCAATGTCACATAAAGGAGTAAATACCGGGGGATGTCTACTACATAAATATAGTTTGCACTTTTTGTTTAATTAATAATTATAAAGAAAACCTTAAACTAATATGAATATCAATTAAATTATCTTTGTATTTTTTTTTCTGATTGTTATTATAAAATATTTTAGTTTATCAAAAGTTTCTCAAGGTTATAACTATATATTTATGAATTAGCAGATGCTACCTGAGCTTAGTTAAATAGTACCTGTTCTTATTCAGTGGATGTATTGAACTGCACACATTTTTTTCACAGAATAGTAGAAGATGAAGGCATGTTCAAATTCAAAACTTGTTAAAACATCTTTTACATATCTATAAATGGTTTTATTCTTCAATTTGTAATTTTTTGTTACCATTATATTTAGTAATGATTAAACTAGAAATGTTTTAACAAATAAATACACAATTTTCCTAGGCAGCCATGAGGATGTAATGCATATAATTGCATTAGCCGATAAGTACAATGTTGTAATAATTCCATATGGTGGTGGCACCAGTGTTTCTGGAGCAGTTTCTTGTCCCGAAAGTGAAACTAGGACTATCTGCTCTCTTGATACTTCTCAAATGGTAAATATTTGAATCAACTTTCACTTGTTAGTTATGTTGAATATTTAATTAAATTCTTTAATAAATGTCATATTTAATACTAATTATTCAATTTTATTCTCATTTTAATAGTTATTTTATGATATAGATATTATAAATTAGCCTTTCAGTTGAAATAATGATAATATTAGTTATTATAATAACTTAATAATAATAGTTTTTGTAAAATCTCAACAATTGAACTGACTAATGTAATAATTGAAATGGTAATAAATAATTAGTGTAAGTGGTAATAAATAATTAGTGTAGTGAAATAGTAATAAAATTCCGTATTACGAAAATATAATAGACGACCACCATGCTGGATTCAGAATATGAAGGAGCACGCTAGATCAGATCTTTATCCTAAAACAGGTCCTCAAAAATGATGGGAAGTAGCTCAGGACTTCCACGCTCTATTTGTCTATTTCAATGCAGCCTATGATTCTGTGGACAGGAACTGAAGTCGTCAAAGTTCGAACGGGCTTATGGCAGAGGGATGGACTATCGCCGATGTTGTTCAACTTAGCCCTGGAGAAGGTAATAAGAACAACTTCACTGGAAAATGGAGGTGTCCATGTCCAAATGAATCATAAAATCCTTGGATACTCAGATGATATAGCTGTCCTTGGAATTAATCAAGAGGATATTGTGAAACTCGCTAAGAGAGGCAGAGCAGATTGGCCTACAAGTAAATGAAGACAAAACTAAATATATGATAATAAGACGAAAATTCCAACACAATAACAGGATCTGCATAGAAGGAAAATCATTTCTGAGCATGGAAAAATTCAAACACCTCGGCTCCACAATAACCTCAATGAATGACCAACGGGCAGAAATATACCACTGTATAACTAGCGTAAACAGAGCTTTCTCCCGATTTTTAACCAGCTTCAGAAAAACCTGAAGTACCTATAGGAGACCTGTTGGTGGATCTCAGCACATTAAGGCACCAAGGGATGACAGAAATATTTATATAACTGCAAGAAGCTACACTTTTCATAGTGCCTGACAAAGCCTAAATGAAGTGTTAAATGTTCTGCCAAAGCCCATACCATTACAAACCATTCTTAATTGTTTGTGGGAAGTTGATCTCACATCTTATGCCCCTTTAAGACGACAAGGAACAGTACGTCGCCAACAACTCCGGAAATCATAGTGCAGTGAGTGCCTAGATGAGGATACAAATTGGAATGTTATTTGTTTACAGACAAGTCGTGTTCTGTATCAATAGCAATCATAGGCGATGAAGAGTCTACCGTGAACAAGGGATGGGTATTTGTACTTCCTTCAATCCAGTCTAGAGGTGCAGGATGGATTTTAATCTATATTGTGGAAGGTAATCCCATTGCAGTTTGTAATAACAATACCCGCCCTTTTTTATTTTTTGTCCTTCGCCGTTAAGGCTATACGGGGTTTTCCCGGGCCAGAGGGTGTGAGTGGGGATTTAAAAGACTCCCCCAGCACCAGGACGCGAACTCGTGACTATTTTTGTATCATTGAGTCATGTATCAGTTTGCCGGGCAACAGCGGTGCAGTGCACACGCGTTAGCCCATTCGGCCACTCCGCCCACAATACCCGCCCTTATAGGTGAAAGGTTTTTCATTAATGCCTTGGAAATCTGGACATTTCACATCTGCCTTTTCCCATATTTACTCCAGATCTCTGTCCTTTTGAATACATGTGGAATGCATTGTAGAGAAGGCTTTTTGACCACTGTCTGCAGCTTCTTAACCTTCAGCTACTGAGTGCAGTATTACCATGTTTTTTGTATGAAATCAGCAACATAAACAGTATGCCCTATAGGTGCAGAGAGGATATTACAAATATTAAAAATAAAATCTCATCACCCTTTAATTTTATTAATTTTTTTAAAAACCTTTTATAAAATTTCTCGAGGTCAAATAAAATCTATTTTATATTAATTTTCAATATATTTTATGATATAAATAAAATAAATCATATATCCAATATCCCTATTCATTTTTTAGCAGTATAGATATCAGTCTTACATAATTGTGAAAATTTAGCTAATTATTTGAGTAAACAATGTTATTTATTAAAGTAGATTTGTTTTGTATTTAAGTACTTGTATAGATTAAAAGAAATAACACTCACACATAATAATAATAACACCCTCTTCATTTTACTTTATTTTATTGTTGTTTTTTTTTTAACTTAAACATGTTAATTTTCCAGAATAACATATTATGGCTTGACAAAAAAAATCTCCTTGTTTGCTGTCAGACTGGTTTAGTGGGACAAGATTTGGAATCATTTTTGCAGGAAAGAGGTTTCACATGTGGTCATGAACCTGATTCTTATGAGTTTTCCACGTATGAATTTTTAATTAAAATTATCAGTCATCATTATCATACACTTATAGTAATTATTAATAAATCTATTCCATTAATTATTTTTAATTTTTCTATTAAATAGGAATTCATAATTTTACAGAGAATATATATCTGTAATTATAAGCTCCTTTTGGTTATCTTTTAAATTTATTAATAAGAGGTAATTCTATTAAATATGAAATTTGTTCATATTAAATAGAGACTTGATCCTTATTTATGCTGTTTGTGTGAATTTGTCCCCCTATTCAGCACGTTCTAATTGCTTTTAAGACAAAAAATGTAGAAAATTTTGTTCATCTCTAAAATTATTTTTGTTTATACTGTTAAAAAAACCATAGTTCTCGAGATATAGAATTCGAGATCAAAAAACCAATAAAAGTTTAAAAATTTAGATTTAAAAAAAAAAATAACCATAATATGGGAAAATTTTTGGTCAGCTAACTTCATATATGTGTTTAGTGACCCAAAAAACTAGAGTAACCTAAAATTTATGTCTACAATAAAACTTTCCTATATTTTTCTGCTATTGCCAAGACTATCCAAGAAATATTGTTCATATTTGTTTTGTTGAAGAAAATAGAGCTATTTTTAATAAGAAATGCAAAATATTTTTGTAATGAGATGAATTTAAATATACAATAGGACGTTTAATTCCTAATAATCTTAGGACCTTTTGTATTATGTGAAAAACAAAATCTGTATTTTTCAAGTTTTACATAACTTTTAGAAACAATAAACAGGCATTCATTTAGTTGTTGATGATTAATCATTGCATTATTTTTTTTTGTTTAAATTTTAGTGTTGGAGGATGGGTTGCAACCCGAGCATCGGGTATGAAAAAAAATGTTTATGGAAACATTGAAGATCTTTTGGTGAACGTCAAATTAGTTACACCTAAAGGTGTTCTCTCCAAAGAAGGACTTTACCCAAGGCAATCAACTGGACCTGATCTGAATCATATTGTTTTAGGTTCTGAAGGTATTTTTTATTTTACTCCCATGTTTATGGAAATTCTCTAGATATATTTTCTTACATTCTTATATAAAAAGAGTTGTAAATATATGAAAGAATATGTAAATTAATTGATAAATATGCACAAATTATTTATTCTCTATTATCATTTATTATGTTTGTTTTGTTTTTGCTTTGTCCAGGTACTCTTGGTGTTATTACAGAAGTGATATTAAAAATTAGACCTGTGGCACCTATTAAAAAGTATGGTTCTATTGTATTTCCTTATTTTGATGCTGGTGTCGCTTGTATGAGAGAAGTTGCAAGACAGGCTAGTATTTATATTCTATTTTACATAAATTTTATGTATTTATTTTAATAATAATTTTGGATAAATATATGTTTTTTTAGAGATGTCAGCCTGCATCTATAAGATTAATGGACAATGAACAATTTCAATTTGGACAGTCTTTGCGGCCAAAAAATTCTAGCTATTGGAGTTCTTTTACAGAAAACTTTAAAAAAGCATATCTTAAACATATTAAAGGATTTGATCTGAATTTGATATGTGTGGCAACACTACTGTTTGAAGGTAATTAAATAAGTAACATTATCATCAACTTATATTTTTATATTTGCTTGTATTACTTCTAGTCCAAGAGCCCGTGTAAAGAAAATCAACATTATTTAATGAAAATTTGAAAGCATTTTTATTTTAATATTTATATTAAAAAAATGAGTGTCTGCCAGTTGGATCTTGCTACGTGTAAAAACAGCAGCTGATTAAAAGAATATTAGGTCAGTAAGTTGAGAATCAAAACGGGAAATTCATTGAAAAAAATGAGTACAAAGTTTTTATTAAAAAATAAAATTACTAATGTTGGTCACTTAGGGAAAACTTTTTATAGCCAAAAAAGCCAGATTTTTCAATATTTTTTTGTTTTTTCACCTATAACTCCTAAACGGTGCATCAAAGCAAAAAACATTCCCTTTAAGAAATAAAAGAACATTATATTAAGCATCAAGCGAGTACCTAAACATAATAATTTGGTTAGGTGGTATGGTCGATAACCATAGTCAACGAATACATATTTTTATCAAAGTAGTAAAAAACTGAGACAAATTAATATTGAAAATGAGTTGTCTAAGAGGAAAAACTTATAGAATAAAAGTTGTAGAGCATCAAATTCCATGTCCACTAACTATTGATCATTTTAATGAAGTTCAATTATACCTCTTGAAATGGGATTCGTTATTTCTTCATGAAATTCAGTTTCTTTTGAAACCGAGGCAGAAAAGAGTCCTATACTTTATATACTAGACTCTTAACAAGAACAACTCAGTAGAATAGACACTTATACTGTTGAAATATTTAAAATCACAGATATCTTCATTACCGATTTCCAGCCATCGCTATTCATTATCAATTTCATGCAGAGTAAGTGACCTACACTAAAACATTTTATGAATTGCTTTTTACGATTTATCTTCAGGATTCCAAGGAACGTCTCTGTATCCTGTTTCTATGAGGAATTAAAGTGGCTATATCCTTCCTACCATCATAAATATTTCCTGGCATCCTTCCTCTTCCAAATCATTCAATCCCGCCCCCCTCCTCGTACATCTCCGAGCTTCTACAATTCAACACCTCAATTGACTCCCGCAATACCGGTTCTAGGTCTTCAGATTTATATACAATGACCCACCGAACTGCTACTTTCGATAGATTATAATAACCCCATATCCGTCACTCCAATACCATCTCTATTTTTAAATCCCATCTATTCAATCACTTTCTTTCCATCCAGTACCCATAAAATTGTAAATAGATATTCCTGTAAATATGTATATACATTATTAGTGTGTTTGCAATTGCTTCATTTTATGTTTCTTTCATTTATTTTTTATTTTTTGTTATTGATTAAAGTTAGAAGGTAACTTTACTGTTTGTTTTTTTTCTCTCGATTATATTTGTCAGTTTAAATTATAAATGTACTTTTATATCTCTAAGGCTCAAAAGGCTCTTATGTTCTTGTTTATTATTCTAAAGAGACTCGCCCCAGATTAAATAAAGTATGATCATTATTCTTAAAACTGTTGGAACTCAGTGGATGTGGAATTAGATGCTCTACAGTTTTTATTCAATGCGTTTTTTTCTTAGAGATCTCATTTTCAAGCTGCAGGGCCATTAATAGTAATTTGTCTCAGGTGATTTCTTAAAGAGAAGGTTTTTTTGCTTGATGCACTGTTTAGGAGTTATAGATGAAAAAACAAAAAAATATTGAAAAATCTGGCTGTTTTAGCTATGAAAAATTTTTCCTTGGTGGCCTGCTTTAGCAATTTTATTTTTTACATGTCTAAACCGACATAACTACAGCTACATTCCAAAAGCCTGTAAAGACAATTTCTATAGAAAACGAGGTTTTGAGCTTTTCTGGTCAATCCTGTCCTGGCACATATTCTGATCCCACAAAATGAAATCTACGATGTTTCATTTCTTTTCTATGCCCTCTTGTAAAAAACTGTAACTTACAATGAAGGTTATAGAGATTGAGTTGTTACCAAAAAATCGTAATGAAATGCTCAATGAAAGGTGGTCATATTACAGATTGTGTAAAGCTTTTTGTGCATACACTGCAGTATCAGTTAACTTTATTAATAAGCTAATTTTTCTCATACGTTATGTATTCTTTTTTAAAATTTCTAATAAGTGGCGGGCACTTCCAGCCCGATGACCCCTCTTGGAAAATGCCTGGGTTCTCCTGCTCTGAGGCCGGTACTACTTACCATGGAACTAGACAAAGCAAAGAAGAGAGTGCTAAGTGGGAATATAATATTAAACAGTCTTCAAAACAATAGAAACCTTCTGGGCACTGCAAAATGAGCTCAGCTGAAAAAAAGCTACAATGCCACCGAATTTCAGATAGTGAGGGACAGAAAATTGATTGCAAAATTTAACACAAGACGAAAAAAGAACTCTAGTTTCATCTTTTCAAACCAATGAATCTGCAAAATCATATGAAGCTCAAAAACAAAGTGATCTATACATCACTAGGTTACCTAAAACTTACCAAGCATTCATGAATCATATGTCTATATGAAGTTTAGTACGTTAAAAACGAATCTTTCATAGACTATTCCAAAATGGGGCATGCATTGCATTTGAGTCGCCCCTACAGTGGGCGACAAAAAAGTGAATAACCATTGTGATTGAATACTCCCTACTCCCTTTCCTGTCATATTTTTTACAAATTTTGATTTGATGTATCATTTCTCTACATTTTGGAAACTAACTTTTTTCCTATCATGCATTGATCATTATTAACAAAATTATGGGTGTTACTACAATAAATTTGATTGCTTTTACCTAACTAATACCTGTTTTTCAAAATAACTAAAAAGCTATTAGTTAGAAGCATTGGCTCTAAAAGATTATTTGGCAGAAATACAATGAAAGAAGTTACTTAAAGCATTATATCTTTGTCTTACTGGAAAATGGTAATTAAGCCAGTGACAGAAGATAATGTGAGGAAGTGCATGGCAGGGTTACAAGCCAGTTCTAGCTTTTCCAGATTTTGACGATACATTTATCATTACCACGGATGCAAGCGAATATGCGCATGGGGCTGTACTCGCTCAAGAAGGGACTAAAAGTGAACAATCGTTGGCATACATGAGTAGGCGACTCACAGAGGCAGAGGCTAGGTACAATGCGTTGGAAAGAGAACTCTTGGGTATGGTCCTTGGGGGCATTTTAGGCCGTATTGTTTCGACCAGAAATTTAAAATTCACACCGATCACCGACCTCTGCTATGTGTAGAAAATCTCAAAGAGTCATCAGTCAGGGTCACTCACTCGGTGGAAATAATTCCTGAGCCAGTATTAAATGGAAAACACGTTCAAGGTTGGTAAAGAAAACGTAGTGGCGAATTGGCTGTCCAGGGCCATCACCATAAATGCAATAGAAGAAGAAGCAGAAACTTCCCGGGACGTGAGGCAATTTCTCAGAACATGGACGTCAGAAAGAGAACTCGAGAACGCAGGTATGGAGGAGAGAAAGGAATCCCAAGAAGAGGAGAGCTTGATCAAAGAGAGATCAAATGGCATGGATAAACTCGAAGAAATTGCCAATGACAAACAACGCCAGATGATTTGGAGGAGGCGGGGTGGCCGAACGAGCTAACATGTGTGCACAGCACTGCCGTTGCCCGGTAACCTGATCTATGAGGCAATGGATTTAAAATAGTTTGAAGAGCAAATCTGTAAGGCACTACAGGCATCCGAACCAAAGAAAAAACTACCTTTACATGGGAAATCCCACGATATAGGGAAAAATTAAGAAAATATGGAAAGCAGAAAAAATAGGCATAGTACCATCAAGGTAAAACCAATCCCTGTGGGGTAAATGAAACACTGCAGGGCATTAAACAGGAGTACTTCTGGGAGGGAATGAAAAAGACTATAGCAGAAATCATATGGACGTGTGAAGTCTGCGCATTTACAAAATACTATAGATGTCCCTAACAAGGAAAACGGGAGGAAACAACCACTAGAGATGTGCCGCTGAAAGACGTACAGAGCGATACTTTTATATGGAAGGGATTTAAATGGGTAACGATGATCAACCTCTTCAGTAAAATTGCAATTTTACATCAAGTGCAGGACCGATCTTCGAATGCTGTCGTGAGGGCTCTTCGAACTTGGGCTCAGTTCTATGGAGTGCCAGATAACATAACATTGGACAGAGGGAGAGAGTTTGATGGTGCTACCATAAGGGAAGAAGCAAAAAGGCTAGAGATATCATGGCATTTCAATACACCTGGGCATCCCAAGAGCAGAGGGATTATTGAGAGATTACACAGCACCCTATAAATGATCATCTGCATATGTATCAAGGAGAACAAGGATTACAAGCAGATGTAGCTATGTAGGCAGCAGCCTACAACCATTCCATATATTCTATCACAGGGTTCTCGCCGGTTGAAGTGTTGTTTGGTGTAAACATATGGAGACATGACTGGAGAGAGACAGGAACAAACGAAGAACGGGCACAAGAAATAATCAATAACAGGGTGGAAATGAAAAAAGTCAGGGAGAAAGGAAAGGAGAAGATAGAGAGGGAAAAACGGAAAAGGGTAGAAAAAGAGAACACAAAAATCAAGGATAGGATGGGAGGAATCAAAATAGGGACGATAGTATATTGGAGAATAGGATCCAATAGAGGGAAAGAGTTATTGCGTTATGAGGGCCCATTCAAGGTGATCGTAATTGGCATAGTCAAAATTGCAGGAGTAAATTTATCCTGTTCCCAAGAGTAATATACAGGAGTATTAAGCAGGTATATAGAACATTAAAGTACCAAAAGATTTATTTTTTGTTTTCTGGAACGAGATATCAAGTCGTAATTTTTTTTAGTATTGTATATTTTATTATAGCAACTTAGATGTCAAGACTTTCTGTGTTTGTATTAAACTTTCCTGTTCTTTATTTTTACATTGATTATTATTATCTTTTACCCTTGTGTTAGTTTATAAAAGATGTTCATAAACTGGCCGGAGTGAGTTATGGTTAGTGGTAAACCTAAACTGTGTTTAATCTAAACCTAAATTTAGATAATGTAATCAAAAGAGATGATTTTATATTCTTGTAGGCTATAACAGTTCTTAGACAGAAAAGTGAGGCTTTGTAAGCAGCAAAGTGTATTTTGGCATCTCTTTTTCCTTTTATTATTATTTAACGTCCGGACGTTCGTAAGTTAGGCATGTATCAAAATAATTGTATTAATTCTGTATTCTATTTAAAAACATAAAATGTTTAGATCTTGATATGTATTGATAAACTTATTTAAATATAAAATAGATTTAATGAATATATTAATAACATAAGTATTTTTATAATTAATTATAAATAAGACAAATTAGACTTTTTAAAAACTGATTTTTAAAATCACTTTTTCATGATAAACCATCTCTTTGTAAATTAAATTGAGGTATATATCCTGTTTTCTTCCATAAATGCCTTAATTTTTTTTATCTTGGGCAATTTCAACTGCTTTAGCTTCAATAAAAAGTTCCAGAAATATGGATTTTTTGAGTTTTTACCCGCTGAAACCATCTAAGTATAAGTATAGGCTTTGTCAGAGATCACTCCTTTTTACTTTTTACTTTCCTACCTATACTAGGTAAGGAAAGTAGTGCAATCGGGTCAAATTACCGACATGCGGTTTTCGATGGATCTATAAGTTTCACAGCCTCCTGAGTCCGAAAAACACATTTTTAGCCATTGGTCTGTCTGTGCCAAGATTTTCTCAGGAACTACTGAACCGATTTTGTTGCTTCTTTTTTTATTTTGTAGGGTTTTGACTACTGATCCATGCGCAGAAATCCATTGCTCCATGCGCAATATCTTGCACGCAATAAATGAAAAACATGTTTTTCTATAGACTGTAGTGCAAAAATGGCTCTAATGATTTTGATGAAACTTTTTTATGATGTTCTAATCATTTTCCTTTCAATTTTCGTATATAGACTAAATTCCCGAAAAAATTCAGGAAAAATAGTTATAAAGAAAAGAAAAATATTATGGGACCTAACTCCCTAAGTATATATTATACGGTACAATTTATAATAGAACGGTAATTAAAGGTAATTAAATTACAAACAAAAAAAATCATCGGAATCGAACCAGTATTAGCGATGATACAGCTTATTCTATTTTTTAAACTTATTATTTATCAAAATACACGCCGTTTAGCCTATCGTTTGAAAGGTAATGAAATTCCCTACAAAGCCATATAATAATCGTTCATTTTGGACAACTATTAACGAAGTTACAGCTATTCAATTTCCAATGAAAGATTACGTGTTCATTTCCTGGTGTCAGAAAGGGGCTAATGAGAGAATAAAGATGACTAAGTGAAAGTAAGAAAATGTGTTGCCCGCATCACACAATCCTCACTATTTCCTCTACTTTTAACAGAAATTATTGTTTGACAATACTAAGCTATGGCAAAAAGTTTTTGATCAGCAATATTAGTGAGTATTGAAATTTTTACACTGATCTACCTTAAGCCGGTTTCATTGCTTTAGTTTATCAAATAAATCGTACTCAAATCTTTTGTTTGATCAATTTTCAGGAAAATTGATAAAGTTCAATTCTTTTTTGTTTCTTCATGATCATATGTAAAGATATAAAAACTTTTCTGAATGGGTAGGAAAGTCATGTGAGTGGACACACCAGATATTTATTTTTTAATTTGATGGCAACTTCCACTCAGAATATTTTTTAATTGAAATTTAATGTCTCTATTGATGTATTGTAAGAAATATATAGTCTGCAATTCTTAAAGTTTTAAGTTAATACACCTGAAACATGTAAGATTATAAATAAAATATTATGAGCAGAAAAAGTACATCATTTCATGATATCCAAACACATACTGAAGGAAGGGAGAGTTAACACAAGAGCAGTTTCTTTGTGTTATTTTTTTTATAAGAACAGTTATTTGTATTTAGAATTTTTCAAATATAACCTAATAATTAATTTATGCCTCTTTTTTATTTTTCGCTCTTTTATATTAATACAGGATTATGCTTAGTATTAAATAACATGAAAAAGTATATTTTGATTAGAAGTTGATCAGGAGTGCTGTTCCAACCTCTAGGAACTTCTCAGATTACAATTACAGTAAACCATCTTTGCACTATTAAGAAAAAAGTATATGAAATATTAATAATTTCTAACTAAAAACTTTCTCTTTTAAAAGTAAAAATCGGATGAAATGCATGACACAACTTTTACTTAACACACTGATTTCATGAGAAATTAATTTTTAAAGTTCATAAACCTTTATCTTGGATGATAAATAATCAGTATTTTCATTCAAAAGATGTTTATTCTAGTTACTGATGTTTTATTTATATATTTTTTTCTCATTGCTATTTTTTTTTTTTTTTTTTTTTTTTGCGTTGTGGCAACCTATTTTAAATTTTATGAAGGTTTGCGTTGAACTTTGTGGCTCCTTGGTTTTAAAGATCTTCAGTTACCACGTTAAAGAGCATAAAATACATATAATTCAAAAATATACCTCATTTATTCATAGCACTAGTTGTATCTACATTATTATTTACATCTGTACCACTTAGTTTTTCTTTAATTTATGGTCACTATTTATTTATTTATATGCATTATTCATTTATTAAAACCAGCTAACTCAATTGACATAATTTTTTTATTGCACATCCTGATTATTTTTAATCTTTACAATTTCAACAGTCATCTATACATCCAACTCTCTCGCTCCCTCCCTCTCTCTCTCTCTCTATATATATATATATATATAGAGAGAGAGAGAGAGAGGGAGAGAGAGAGAGAGATCTTTAAAACCAAGGAGCCACAAAGTTCAATGCAAATCTTCATAAAATCTAAATAGGTTGTCATACCAATGCGAAATAGAAAAAAATAAAAAAGCAATGAGCAAAAAATATAAAAATAAAAAATGTCAGCAATTATTATTGGTCATTTTCACATAGATTGACATGTAAATCTTTCTTTGAAAAGTATTTAGTTGTAAATCTGTATCTTGAATCACAGTTTCATTAATAATGTTTGTTTTTGTGCATCTCAGGTGAAAAAGACCAGGTTGAACAGCAAGAAACTTTGATTTATAAAATTGCCAGAGATTGTGGTGGTATTCCAGCAGGTGAAAACAATGGAGAGAGAGGATACATGCTGACTTTTGTTATTGCCTACATTAGGGTAATTTCACATTTTTTATTTTTTCTGGTATAATATGATTAACAGTTCATTGTGAATATTAGTACTTATTTATCCTGTAAAATTTTGATCTCTTATGTAGGAAATTGGTCCTATATATTAGAAATATTATTACTGTATACAATTATACAATGTTAGATTTTATATATATATATATATATATATATATATATATATATATATATATATATATATATATATATATGTGTGTATATGTGTGTGTGTTACAAAACTAAAATTAATGATTGCTTAAAACTTGTCACTATCAAATATTCATTTTAGAAATTTATTGTTAAGATGAAGGAAATGATGGCTTAGTTAGTTGGATAAGGGTCTCAGAGTACCCAATTCAGAACATTGTGGATTTGAACCTCACCTAGGTTAGTTAACATTTATTTCTTGGTGGCCACAAGAAATGAATCTGGAGGCTCTCATTCTGGTTAGTATACTGCACCAACCTTAGCCATCAAGGGTTAGCAAAAAGGACCTCAAACCAACTTGCCATACAAGTTTTTCTTAACAATACTAGTACCAATGAAAATCAGTTAAAGCTCTTTAAATAATGCTGTTTAATCAAACAAAAACCACTATAAGTCTGAAAGCCAACTCAATAAAAACTATCTCATAAGAAGCTAAATTATTTAGGTTACAAGTTGCTCCTACCAATACCAGTGCCTATTGCCTGAAAAAAAGAAATCTACCTCATAAGACGCTAAATTATTGCCATTGTTAGTCTTATTTAAAGAACGTACTTTTAACATCGAAACAACTTTCAATAATCACGATAATAACACCTCAATTAGTGTAACGATATATACGAGAAGCTGCTAGAGAACTTTTTCCACTTCCAGAGCCACTGCTACCAAACGGCTGAGCTTATGACGACTGTACTTAACAGAATTCATTTTCTGTTCTATGTGAAATTTTCCTGAACATTTGAGAACCTCAGTTGGTGGTTTGGGAGTCTGTAGTAGATAAACATATTTTAAAACCAAATTTAAAAATCCCTCGCAATTTTTCTGCAGAAAATATTTTGAAATCAAATTTACAACTTACAAAAATTGGTTCAATAAAAAGTGGCTAGTACCTTCTTCTATATTCTTTATTGCAATAGTTCAATATCAAAATACAAAATCATTCACGCCAGATGTTATTCCAATAATTCATTATCAAAATATAAAGCCGGGTCAAATTCCAAGTAAACTGTAGAGAAAAAATAAAAACAAAACCCAAAGATGTTGGTTCCAAATTGTTGTCTAAATAATTCAATATACGAAGCCGGATCAAATTCCAAGTTTGTGATAATCACCCAACCGAATACCGTTTCAATAAATTATATCAAAACAGTAAATCAGTAACTCAAGTCAATATCAATAATCAAAGTCTATTCAGATCCAAAAGTTCCTGTTGAGTTGTGATAATTTTTTCCATCAGTTTGAAGTTGAATAATACAACTTTTAAATGTGGCCCGTGGTAGAGTAGGTTGGGATGAGAATCGAAATAAGTAACTGCCATACCGGGATCTCTAGACAAATTACTCAAGAATTCATACTTACCAAGACTTTGGTTCTACTCAATATTTTATTTTAATTTAAAGTCTATGTTTTAAGTCAAGCAAACCTAAATATAATGTCAAAATTTCAAAAATCTACCATTAGCCATTGCTAAGCTTACCCCTTACAAAATTTTGTTGGACAATGCAGACATAAAGACAGACAATAAATTTTTTAAAAGTGGATTTGGTTTCTGTAATGTATGAAACGGAAAGATATCATGAAACTGGTTGACTCTATTCATTGTACAGACAAACCCTTTATTTTATTTATATAGCTATTAATTTATACAATTTCATTTCATATTTCTGCCTGCTTTATTCCTGAGGAGGTCATCATCTTAAATACAATCTCTTTATTGAATTCTTATTATGACCCATAAGTTTATATGTCATACATCGTCTTATTTATAATATATAAACATCCACACATTGGTTGTATTTAAGAAAATAATGTTAAATTACAATATTTAAAGCAACCGTTAATGAAGATTTATGTGGTAATTAAATTTTAATTTTGTGTGAAATCTTTAATTGTTTCCGATAAGTTTAAAAGCAAACATTTAATCTTTAAATGTATCTTTGTATTTGAGTTATTTTGATTAGTTTAGTTTCTTTTTGTTTATATACATTTACTTTTAGTATAATTATTTTGCTGTTTAATTTATTTTTATTTATTGTACATAGAGTGTGAATGTGCTCTCTAAACACTATTATAAATGTCCTTAATTCAGACAGATTATAATATTTCTCAATAAAGAATTGAACAGTTTAAAAAAACAAAAATACTTTAACTATTTTTTTTATTTCTATTTTTAGGACCTAGGCTTAGATTTTAATATAGTAGCAGAATCCTTTGAGACTTCTGTACCTTGGGATAGAACTCTTACGGTTTGCAGGAATGTTAAATATATTGTTGGCAAAAAATGTAAAGGTATGTTTAAGTTCTTAAAAGACTTAATCAGATATAATTTTTTTGTTTAACTATGAAAAGTAATATGTTTTGATTTATATTTCAGAGTTTGGTATTAAGTATTTCTTAATTTCTCACAGAGTCACACAGACGTATGATTGTGGTAGTTGTGTTTATTTTTATTTTGCTTTTAACTGGGAAGGCCTTTCAGATCCTGTGGCAACTTATGGTGAGATAGAATCTGCAGCTAGGGAAGAAATCTTAAGGTATATTGTAACATCTCTCTTATATTTTACAAATAATAATATAACCTCGGAAGATCACTTTAATACTATTAGGATACTTCCTAAATAAATAAGAGGTTATTAAATAATAAACAAAATTATAAGAGTATTAATATATTTATTTATCTCAGGTTTGGGTTACTGACAATCAGATCAACTCAGACAAATTATTATTATTTACACTAAAATTAAACAATGATTTTAAAATAAAGTCAAGTATGAATTGGCAAGCTAACCTTTTTTCTATAGATACTGTTTCTTCCTTTGTCACACTAAATTCATTTGTCTTCAAATGCTTTCCAATCTTCTGCTAAAACACAACTTCAAAAATGGTAATACTTTCTTCTACTCGACTCAAGCATCCTGTGATATCCTCTCTCTTTTAATTCCAAACAACTAGTCTCTCTGCCAAACAACAACTAAGATGGTAATACTATTACTGAGTTTTTCCCAGTGGAGCCAGGATACCTTCATTAAATCATTTTGACCCACTTCCAATAAAGGTGTATTTTACAGTATATATGTATGTATATATTGATTGCATTTTAATGTATACACTATTATTTTTGTTTGGCTAAATTCACAAATGTACATTTTTTTAGTTAGTTTAAATGTTTTTGTTTTCACTTACCTATAGATGTTTTACATAGTTAGGGAAAGTATTGTGATCGTGAAAATTTTTTAATCTGAGTTTTCAATATAATACATTTAATGTTGAGGTCCCTTGAGTCCAAATAACCAGGTCCCACAAAAAGATTTTTGTTTATGTGAACAGACTCGCTCAAAAATGAAAAGTCGTACAAAACTGATATTACGTATTTAAGATAGGTATATGCCTGGGATGTTGCAGCAACCTTTTCCTATCAATCGACTAACCTGAAGTGCCACTTTATTCTATTGATTTTATAATTTTTACTATTTTCTCAAAAACAGCACAAACGATTTTGATTAAACTCACTATATCAGTGTGAAATTAAGCAGTTTTTAATATAATCTAAGTTTCACTCTCATTGATTTCACAGGGCTTAAATGCCTAGTTTTCAAAATTTCTTCCTCTAAAGTACCATTAATTTTTTTTATTTGAAACAATTAGCCATTTCACATTGTAACCTGCTATAAAAAGTGGCTAAATATAAAATATGAAAGAATTTGACAATTAACTAAAGGAGAAATAGGGAACTAAAGAATTGTAATAGAGAACCGAAGAAACCCAAAAGCACACCCAAGTTTGGCCGAAAGGTTTATATATTCTTCTATACATAACAAATGCCTAATAAAATAGGGACTCTGATGATATTATATACGTATACATGTGCTGTTTTCACAAATGTTAGCATTGGCATTATTTAAAATTTAATTATTAACTCTCCAAAGGTCGCCAGCCTTAGAATCACATGGAAGGTCGCTACATATCTGTGAGATACACTTCACCAAATCAATTATTGATCAAAAATACAAACAAATTTCTCAATGTACTAAAAGAAAAATATATAAGATGAGTTTTAAAATATATTTATTGAATAAAATGCTGTTAAATAATTTTTAAAAATCAAAACAAAAAATACGTTGACAAAATTAAGAACTTGAAAATTAAATTCTGTATTCCTTTAAATATGAACACAAAAATCACTGAATACTAGGTACAATTATTATAGGATTAAATTGAATACAAAAATAAGTATACAAAAATAGTAGGTCTCCAATTTCTCATTGGTAGCTATCGACTATAGTCCTGTCTGCTCCAAATGAATAACAAGATTGGCAGTTTTTGACAAACTTCAAATACGTCTCGGATAGGTGCCGGTTAGTCTATTTATTTACATTGTTGACGTGTTCCTCGATCATCAAATCTTAGGGATCAAAATAAAATTCGAAACCTTCATACACTCATTGTATTGTGGGACGAAATATTTCAATTCTCAAACTTGGAATCAATTGTGCCACTTGAGTCCCACAAATCATCCAGATTTTTTTTTCCCGGTTTAATGCATTTTTAATATATTTATACAATATATAACTGTCCTGCAATATCTAATAACCTAGGAGCAGACCTCATGACCTACAAAAAAAGTTTATATAAGCAATAGGGCCTATTTTCAGCAGAAAAGTCAGAAATCCAAGTTTTTTTTTTTTTTTAAAGTAAGTCATACTTTTTGTTAAATAGTAAGTGATAACTAAAGAAATATTTAATTTATGTAATTAACAATTGCTTCATTTTAAACTAGCCAACATTTACTTCAAATATAAATAGAGTTTGTCATTATTAAAACTATTTAAAGAGGACTTTTGAGGAACTTTGAGCAGCTTAATGTGTTTACACAATACACATATCTTTTATTAAACATGCCATTTGTTTACAGGTGTGGAGGCTCTCTTTCTCACCATCATGGTATTGGTAAATTAAGAGCAAGATGGTATCCAAAACAGGTTTCTCAGCTTGGAGCCAATTTGTACAGTGCCACAAAAAAATATCTTGATCCAAACAATATTTTTGCTTGCCAAAATCTTCTTCCTTTGAAAAGCAATCTTTGAAAAGAGGAAAATTTTGGTTAAACATTTTATTTGTTTGTTTTTTAGTAAAAATTCACTGTAGTTATAAATTTTAGATGCATTGCACATGTAAGATATAGCTGAGGTGTATACCATTTGTTACAATTTTTGTAATCTAGTCGATATTTTTTTTAGTCATATTGGTAGTATTTATAGATTATTTATTGTGTTCACCAGCAGAATTGGTATAAATTTAAATGAAATCAGTTTTCATTGTACATAAAAATTCAGGTTTAAAATCTGATTTATATTGTGAAACATTGATTTGATTAATGTTTTAAATGAAATTAATGTCAGTATTTTAGTTGTTTTATGGATATCTTTTTAAATAACTTTTTATTGAATTGATTTATGTTCTGGGATGAAATTTAAATTGGTTTTTGTTATTTATTATTGTCTTTCATATTTTATGAAAGCCATTGCTTGAGTTACCATAATTTTATATTATTAACTGTTAGCATATACAAATGATGCTAAAAACCATCAGAAAGTCTGGTCTCCTTATTGAAGTATTATTGACTAGTCTGAATTATTTTTGCCATGGCTATCTTATTGGATATATTGTAATTATGATTTAAGGTGATTTATTAGGAATTTTATTTATAAATTTTCTTAAATACAAATCCAGTCAAACCTTTATGTAGTGAACTTAAAAACAATTGCAATTTTTCTGTTATGTTTACATACTAAAACATATTATTTAAAAAAAAAAATGTCTTGTTAGAATTATGCTGTCACAGTAATCTGAACTTAATGATTGCATGTAGTACTTATCTAACATCACTTTAATTGAAAATGGTCCGAAAAACATAGCTTTAGACGATAAGTAATATTTTTATATTGTGCACATTATACATTCATATTTAAAAAAAATATATATATATATATATATATATGATAAAAGTAAAACTATTTATGCAGTTTTCAGTAGCATATGAATACTTGTAAGAGAGTTGATAAAACAAAATTATTATTATTTGACAAATGGTTATTGAATGAATGATGCTTTTATTTTTCCTTTCTCTTTTGTAGTTTCACATTATTTTTTGCTTAAGATGAGATTGTTTAGATGGATATTATCAAGGTTTCCTGATGTTTAGATGATGACAGATGTTTTAAAATTCAGTGGCTTCCGAATGTTTTATCTAACACTACTTATCACTGTTACTTCAAATTTAATTGTTATTATTACAATACATTTTTATTACTAAATAAGAATATGATTAGTTCTGGAAATAAATTTAGTATCATTTTTCTCCATCAAGAAAAAATCAGATTAGCAGGTCAAATTAATGAGACTGTATGTTAACTACACTACCACTACTTAAGGGTTTGACTGTAGTTAATTAAATAATTGCTAATTTTTTCTCTTTGTTAAATTTTTTTTTTTTAACTTTTATTTTATATCTGCACCTGTTAATTACATTAAAATAATAATTGTTTACCAAAAATAGAGGCTAGAAATTCGTGTATTTAATAATTGATTTTTATTTTGAATAAGCCAAAAATCATGTTACCTGCTCCTTTTGTAAAATTTAATTTAAGTGAAATTATTATGATGTATTTTTGACTAGTTTAGATTTGTTTTAATCACAAGATACTTCACCAACTTGATTTATCAGTTCTTCCTCATTTAGTTCCTGTTCATCAATTAGTTTACTTAGTCAGCTAATTATTGTACTTGCCAAAGATAATTTTTTGTTAGAATATTTTCAATCCAAATGTATTGGGGGTGTTGACACAGGATTTGGATTTGACTTAAAAGTGTTCTGTGAAATATGATTTTAAATCGAACATATATTCCTTTATTTATTTATTTTATTATTGTTTTGTTTATTCTTTATGGAAGTGTTAAATTTTCACCGTTTTTCAACCACCTCTTGATTTTTTTTCTATGAAGTGAAAATACTAAAATATTATTTGAAAAATGTTAAAATATGCAATAAAATAGCAAAAATATGAAATATTTTTAATGCAGTATAAATGTATCCTGAAAAAAACTTAACAACAAAATAAATATGAGGAATCGGTCAGGGGGTGCAGTCCAATGAATACTATATATCAAAATAATATTTTATTGTTTAGGCCGATATTTCGACCCACTTTGTAGGTCTTCATCAGGACATGGTATAGGGCACTGTAGGAAGCAGTTGGTAGACTGGCAGGTGAAACAGGTCTAGTGCACATGAGTAAAATGAACTAGCATCTAGTACATCATCTGTACTATATCTGTATATCTGTTTCACCTGCCAGTCTACCAACTGCTTCCTGCAGTGCCCGATACCACGCTCTGATGAAGACCTACAAAGTGAGTTGAAACGTCGGTGTAAACAATGAAATACTATTTTGATATACAGTATTCATTTGGCCGCACCTCTCCCCTCCCGACCAACCCCTTCTCATATTATTATCACGGTCAACCATCTCTACACTATTAACAAGATAAATAATTCTTTTATGAAATGTCAATAATATAAATTACTTTCCTTCTTAATTTATTAATATTAAAAGTTCTTTGTTTTAAAGATGATTTAATTCTTCTTTTATTTGTTGATTCTTTTTATTTTACTCTAAAGGGATCCTTAAGTAGTCAACATGATTGAATCATTATGTAAGTTGTGTATGAGCTGCATTGCACTAATTATATTGACATCAATCTAACAGCTGACAGTAATTTTTTTTTTATGGAAACTTTTAATATTTTTGAAGAGTTATCAATATAATTGTATATGTAAGGGCTAATTAAGTCATATCTAAACAAATCTAGACCTTAAGGAGCCATTGGTGATAATTATTTCCGGTCCTTTTAAAATATAAAAGAATCCTCCTTATTTCAATTTTATTGTAGACAGATGACAATATTTTATGTCATTAACTGTTTTGAAATTACTGTTTTTGTTGTTTTTTCAAAAGCTAATTTTCATACAGTGTTAAATAACCTTTGTAATAACATTTTTTTATTACAAAAATGTATCTTAAGTATTAAACAATTAATAAAAAATAAAAGAGTAATTTTGAAACAAGAAACATTTTAATTAATTTCTAGAAAAAAGGTAAATTTACAGCTCATACAAATATTAAGGTTATATAATAGAGTTAATATAACCTTAATTAATAAAAAATAAAAGAGTAATTTTGAAACAAGAAACATTTTAATTAATTTCTAGAAAAAAAGTAAATTTACAGCTCATACAAATATCAAGGTTATATAATAGAGTTAATATAATAGAAATATTCTATTCCTATACATGCTCATAACGATGATCGGAAATAAACAGTTAATAAATGATTAATTGCCATTTTTATGGAAATTATTATTTATGTATTTACTTATAATCATATACTGTTAATTATAACAATAAAATAGGAACTTATTTTTATTACATAATGCTATTTTGTAATATAATTAGCAAGGCAGCTAAAGTAATATTAAATTCACTATTATTCATGCTTAAGAATTAAAAAGAAAACGCTATTTCTATTGGGAAAGCCAAACCGTAACTGACATAATATTATGTGTGAGGTGCCCTTTCAATATTATTTCCTTCAATAAATACCTTGTAAGGGGCCCTTAAGACTCTAAACCACTCCTAGTATTGCCTGTTATATTATTCTAAAGGGACATGTCTCAGAACAAATAAACAACTATTATTATAATGAACAACTTATTTAAATTTAGGTGAATGAATTTAATTTAAGTGAATGACTTTTTCATTACCCGGTCCGATTACCATAGCTTTGGCCTATAACTGCTATGCAGCAAAGTGATGTATTCTATTACAAGATATTTGTATTAAAAACATTTTATTTTTTGTCATTTTTATACTTTCTTATGTCTTGTAATTGAATTAAAGTGATCGCTTGATATATTTGTAAAAAAGTAGTCTGTAGACAGTACCTCATATACAATTATTATTATAGATCTAGGCTTGAAAGTCATTTCCTTTTCATTCCACCATTGTTTTGAAAACTCATAAGCAATCTTTGTATCATTAATATTTAATGAGAAAGTAGTGCTTGTTATATTATTATTATTATTATCATTGGTTATGTTATTAATAAATGAATGAAAATATCTTTATTTTGTTATAATCCATCAATCCTTATTTGACCTGTAGTATGTTTTTTTTTCCTGTAAGTTGTTTCCAATTAGGCTACTCTGTTTTTATATTTATATATATATATATCAAATTCTACTCGGGTTCATATATATGAACAATGGATTGTTAAGATTTCAAAAGATTTTTTACTTAAAGGAAATAATAGTGAAAAAAAACTTGTCTTAAATTAACAAGAACATGATAAAACCAATCAAACTAAGACGTTTGCTATTAATTGAAAAATAGTTAAATTTGTTTGGTTTTGATCTTATAAGATATTTCCTGTTAAAATAGAACTTTATTTTATGGAAAATAGTTTTTTTATATATATATATATATATATATATATATATATATATATATATATATATATATATATATATATATATATATATATATATATATATTAAATTAATTAAAATTATAAAATTAATTATTTAATTAACTAAAATTATAAAATTAATTAAAATCGTTTAATTAATTGAAATTATGTGTGTGTGTGTGTATATATATACACACACACATATATATACAGAGTTAAGGTGCCAAACTGAAAATATGAATCAAGGTAAGGACCTCAAAACAAGAAAATAAATTTTATGAAGGTATGTCTGCAAATGCTTTGTTTAGGAGATATTCTCACCTAAAGATTTTTATTGTTATGAATTATTTAAATTATATAAAGTAAATAAAACTTATTTATTTGTCCCAACCACTTTATTAATTAAACGTAAACATTAAATTCATATAAAATGTTGTTAGAAGTGATTTATTTGAGCATTAAGACCTGCTCGGCATCTTTCTTCAACAGCAGCAGTGGCAGAATGGCACTGGATATCTGTTAGTTCCACAAGATTCAATTATTCTTCTTCGTAAGGAATTAAGGCCATTGACCGGACTTCCATAGACTTCTGGGGAGCATGCAGGACAAGCCACTGGTCCTGCATGGCCAATCCATTGATTGGTATAATTAACATTTAGTCATTGTCGTGAACCTCTTCCATAATGTGCAGGACAACCATCTATGAATGTTAATGTTTACATTTGATTAATAAAATCGTTAAAATAAATAAATAGGTTTTATCTTCTTCATATAATGTGAATAATTCATAACGAAAATCATTAGGTGTGAATATCTCCTAAACAAAGTGTTTGGGGACATACCTTCAGAGAAAATTTTTTTCTTGTTTTAAGATCCTTAGTTCATTTTTGCAGTTTAGCCACTTAACCCTGAAACTCCCTGTATATATGTACATCATAATAAAAATGAGTTTAATTGAACTCAAACCAGTTAGTTTGTTACCTTGGCCTCCTATTATTTATATATGTACGAGAGGGGACCCAAAACTAACAGAAATTAGGCTGCGGTGGGAAGTGAGAGTGGGGGAACCCAGTGTCCATTAGGGACACATCTCCTGAGTTAGTATGCGAAGTTGTGTCACTTTGAGTGCATAGGTTCGCCCATGAGATTTTTTTAGTAAAACAACTTTTTCCATTTCGCCAAAAACGTGATGGCCGATAGTCAAGAGCAACGCATGCTGCCCCAGGTAAAACCAGAGTTTAAGAGCGGTTTTCATGTTTTAAAAATGGAGAAATGTCAATTAAAGACCAACCCCATGCAGGACTCCCAACATCAAGAAGTGATGAAAACGTCGAAAAAATCAATGCTCTCGTTCGTGAAGACCATCGCTGAACCATTGATCAACTCTGTGAGATGTCTGGAATATCATGGAGTTAAATCCAGAGGATTTTATCCAAAGATTTGCAGATGAGAAGAGTTGTAGCCAAATTTGTCTCTCACCTTCTCACAGAGGACACCTACTCAAAGGGAACGTCGACAAACATGTTTTGAGCTTCAAAATCAGTTCAAAGAGGACCCTGAATTTTTTTCTTGGGTGATGACTGGTGATAAATCATGATGCTATGGATATGACCCCGAAAAAAATCAGCAATAAAGCCAGCTGACTCTCCTCATCCCAAAAAATTTGCCAAGTGAAGTTAAACATCAAAACAATGCTCATTAGTTTCTTTGATTGCTAAAGTATTGTGCACGCGGAGTTCGTTCCTCCATGTCAAACTGTCAACCAGAAGTTGTACTTAGAGGTTTTGAAAAGATTGAGTGAGAGAATCTGGAAGAAGGCATCTCGTTCTTCCATCATGACAACACACGGGCCTGCACCACCCTCGCCATTATCATTATTCTTGCAATTATAAATTTAATCTGGTACCTTATATAGAGGATAAAACTAATATTTTTTAAACAAGATTAAGGTTAAATTCAATTAAACTAAACAAACATATTTATTTTATTTAAAAAATATACTGCTCCAACAATAAAAATTTAATTAATTTATATCACTAAACTGGACGGATCATACTTCTAATATCAAAATTATTTAAGCAATTTAAGACTGAATATCACATAAATAATATACAATACAACAATCACTTGTACTTATGTTATGTTGATATTACATAACAGGAAGAATGTCACCATTACTTGAATTTTGATGAAGCAATTATCATTAATAATATATATATATATATATACATATATATATATATATATATATATATATATATATATATATATATATATATATATATATATATATATATATATATATATACATATATATATATATATATATAATATATATATATATATATATATATATATATAATATATATATATATATATAATATATATATATATATAATAAAATAAAAACTATACACACATTTAATAGTATAATTTAACAAAAAATAAAAATTAAATTATATTTGCAGTTTGATTTTTACATTGCAATATAGAGCAATAAGTAAAAGATACAGCTAATGGCAGGTAACCAGAACTGAAAAGCAACTTTATCTATTCTAAAAAAAACCCTAATTTTCAAATATATATCTGATTGCAGGAGGGTTTTGAGTTGCTTTGTAGGTAAGACTTTTTTACTAATCTATAAATAATACATTACTTTATACAAATTGTCACAAAAACTATGTTTTTAACAATTAATCTTAAAATTTCGAAACTTATTTTTTCATATAGTTTAAATCGATAGCAAAAAAAAGTGCAGCACAACTGTAAAGAAACATAACTAATACTGAAAAAACAAACATATTTTTTAAAAAGTTAATACTAGTTCTCTGTACTGGTCGGAAGAGAAAGATCAAACAAGCATTGGAGTCAAATAGAAACAAAATCTTTAGCAAGTGGCTTGAAAAGTCAATGATTTGGGACTAATAGTCAGATAGATTTTTAAAAAATTCCATATAATTCATGGAAAAAATGTGAAGAAAGATTTTAAAAAGTTGAGAAAATAAATTTAACGCTATTTACTAAAGAGGATGTCTAATTTTCTTTTGCTTTATGTAGTATAGACAATTTAAAGTATCTTTCTAAGAGAGCATTGAGGTTTGAAATTAAAACCAAAGGTCAACAATTATACAATATGTAAAAATAATAATAAATTTCTAATAAAACTATTTATATAAAATTTTCTTAATTTTAAGAAATTATTTTAAAACAAAATAAATTATAAATTTTAAACATAATATCTTACTTAATAAGAGATTCAGAAGTTCATTTAACAAAATAAAATGAAAAGAACTAAATAATATATAATATAGTAGAAGGGTGAAGTGAAATAGTCGCCATGAGAAAAGCAGAAAGAGGCTAACTAACTGTTAACAAGCCAAAATGTTAGGCAAGTACAGATAATAATACCAATTGTTATATGAGTTACACAGATCTTTTTTAGCTAATCAAAAAAATAGATCAATTCACAATATAGACAAAAACAAAATCAATAAACTGTGATATAGGAAAAGTTCTCATATGTTGCTTCAATCGCATATGTTTTGTTTTTGTTTCACTAAGAACTTTATGCATATTTTTAAAAATCCAAATAACTGAAAAACTCTAATCAAACACAATTGATTTCAATCTTAATATTGACAGATTCATCATCATTAATAAACCCTTTGTTAATGATGTCATCGATGAGGGCGAATTCTGTGTACCCAAATGCTCTAGGAGATATGGCAGCAACTGGTCTTTCAAAGGCTTTCAATCCCGACTTGGTGCACATCACTTCGCTCAGTGAATGTTCCTGTGATATGGGATGGATGAGAGTAAATGAAATTCGACCTTTAAAAGGCCAGCCTAAAATGTGATCATTTTCACTCTTCATTAGATGCACAAGCAGAGATAAGTAACAAGGATTGTTCGGTGACAAATTCAGTCTGGCACAAAACCTAGAGAACAATAAGCATTAATTAAGTTACTTTCCATTAATATAAATCTTTGAAAATTAATTTATCATGTGTGGATCCACAATATAACAAACTTTTAAAATAAGGGTTTATTGTATTTAATAACATTACGAAACCTACAAATGTAACCAACCACTGTACAAAAAGATATATATACTTCTGCCTTTAAGCTCAAGCATCACCATAAAAATCACTCAAATTCAGCTTAACACATTAATTCCACAGATTACATACCTGCTCATTTTATCAACTGGCATACTTCTTCCTTATATACATTAAAAATTCACCATTCAGATAGCTCACTAGCCTGCCTAAGATTTATGTGCTATAATTATGACTAAACTTGTTTTTAATAATTACTAAGGGGTACCCTCTGTCCCCCTAACAGTGAACCAACCACCATTTTACAAATTATAGGACTGTTCATTTAATTGTACTACTCATGGCTCAAATTGTATAACTGTAATTTACATGTATTCTGTAGTTCAGGTTGTATTTTTTTTTTTTTTTCTTCAAAATAATGTAACCAGGGAAAAGAAATAAATTTCTAGTCTTTATCCTAGAATTTTAATTTTAATTGAAAAATAAAATATTACACGGTCACTAATTTTTTTTTATATGATAGAGAGAATCTTAGCATTTTAATTTGTGGAGATTGGAAAATAAAATATTACACGTTCATTAAAAATTTTGTATACAATAGAGAGAATCCCAGTATTTTAGTTTGTTGAGGTTGAAAAACAAAATATTACATGGTCACTAATTTTTTTTAAATAAAATACAGAGAATCTTAGCATTTTAATTTGTTGAGATAGAAAAATAAAATATTACACACTCACTAAAAACTTTTTGTATATAATAGAGAAAATCCCAGCATTTTAGTTTGTTGAAGTTGGAAAACAAAATATTACACAGTCACTAAAAACATATTTATATAATAGAGAGAATCCCAGCATTTTACTTTGTTGAGGTTGGAAAACAAAATATTACACGGTGACTAAACACTGTTTTATGTAATAGAGAGATTAGATAAGACCCTATTCCATTTATTTATTATACTTTATTTTAAAAACTTTTCAATTATTTTACTAAATTATTTGTTCTTTCTCAGATCAGTGTAACTACCAATACTACGGTTTTTATATTCTTAATTTGAAACAAATTTCAAATTAAGAAATAAACTTTTTTTTCTATGTAATTAGTACTTTATAATTTTTGTTTCATGTTTAAATTTGAGTTTATTTCCGGAGCAATGAAGTTAACTTTGAGGGATATGCTCCTAGGGATATTTTTTTTTATTAAGGATGTCTACAAGAATCTTTCAGTCGAAATCTCTAAAACTGACTTAAATAAAATATCCTGATCCCTGCTCCCAAATAAAAAAAAATGACATAACAAATAAAGACAGCTAAATATTCCTGCAGGTCTGATAAGAGTGATGAGGATGACCATGACAGACCTTGAATGTGTTGTACAAATGCAAGGTGATCGCTCTGAAAGTTTTGCGTCTACAAGGGAAGTCCAACAGGGCAATGAACTAGCATGTTTACTGTGTGACCTGGTTCTAGAGAAGGCTATAAGAGATTTTGGGATTCAGACGACAGGAACTATTATAAGTAGAATCGTGCAGCTTCTGGCATATGCCGATAACATCGATATAATTGGACGCTCAAAAAAGTCAGTCGAAGTGCCATTCCTCTCTGTTACGCAAGCAGCAAGAAAACATGGTCTAGTGGTCAACCATGACAAGACCAAGTATATGATTCCTGAACATCACCCAAGATATCCTGGGGGAAAAGGTGGGATTTGAAAATTGTCTCTTCGAGTGGGTTTCTAAATTTAGAACTCTGATAAAAATTCTGGTACTTTTTGTCTAAGCGGCCGTTTTGAAACCTCACTTCTTATCTAACGTCATGTCATCATGTCACATAACCTCCCTCTTCTTAACCCGCCAAACTTTTGAGTTATTGCATTGTTTAATTTTCAGTTATTCCCTTATTACGTTCACTTATTAAATTGTTTACTTTTGGCCCATTTGTGTTTATTTTTAGTTTTTGGCCCGTTTGTGTTTATTTTACTTTTTTTTTTAGTTTGTGACCCCTTATTTTTTATTTTTCATTTTTTTTTTCGTTTATTTTCGTCATATTATGGATCTTCTTAGAATATGAGATTTACTGTCTTCAGAAGAACAGGCAATTCAGTATTTTCAAAATGTTGGGGTACTTGCTGGGTTATCATTGGTGGATGTTTGGTGGAGTTTGCCGAGAAACAGATGAATGTTTTATCGTCAAAATAATTGACAGAAAGACAACAACATTATTACAAGCCATTAAAGAAAATATAGAAGAGGGAACGACCATTTATTCGGACTGTTGGAAAGGATACAACACCCGACAACTGAACGAAGCAAACTATGACCATTTCCAAGTGAATCACCGGTATAATTTTGTCGATCCATCAACTAGGGTTCATACTCAACACATAGAACGATTGTGGGGCTCAGCTAAGTGGAGAAATAAAGTACATAGAGGAACTGCCAGACAACACCTCGATTCATATTTGTGCAAATTTTTGTGGCAGCGGGTTCACAGAGAAGAGGACCCGTTCCTCGCTATTTTAAGTAGCATAAAACAATTTTGCCTTCCAAAATAAATAAGACAAAAGGAAGTGAATAATTAACTTAAAATAATTTGTATATACGTTGTTTATAGTGTTGATATTTTTTCTTTTCTAAGTAAATATGTTCTTTTAAATTTGTTTTTTTATTATTTCATTAATATATTTGTCGTCAAATAAAAGTATTTTTGTTGTTATTACATTTGTTTTTGTATCTTTTACACTTTCAATAATACGAATTTAATACAATAATACGAAGATGTGAAGTAGGAGAAGGCTTATCACTGCGTTATGGGAGCTATCAGTGTTCAGGTTATAAACATTGGCAGATAGCAGTCAGTAGCGGCCGCTTAGACAAAAAGTACCAAAATTCTAAATACAAAACTCTGATTCACCCAGTCCTTACTTATGGAGTGGAGAAATTGACAAATGCAAAAGATACGTATCAGAAGTTGGCCACATCTCAGCAAAAAATCCTCTGAAAGATATTTGGACCGGTGATAGTAGGTGAAGAGTGGAGATGAAGAACAAATGAAGAGGTCTACAATCTCTTTGCCAAGAGATTACAGTATAGACGTTGTTAGTCTTATCAAATGATATCGTCTAAGATGGGCTGGACATGTAGCCAGGATGGAGGAACAGGAAACTCCTATAAGATTACTGACGCAGATAGTCCATGGCCTGAGGAGAGTTGGCCGCCCCAGAATTTGATGGATTGACTGTGTGGCTATGGATGCGAAGAGTTTGGTAGTCCACAACTGGATGGCAGTAGCGTAGGACAGAAACTTCGGGAGATTACTGTTTGAGGAGGCCTGGATGTGTCGATATGTTGTGCCAAGCTAACAGTTTGTACAAGAGTCTTTCAGTCAAAATCCCTGACTTAAATAAAATATCCTGATTCCTCCTCCCAAATAAAGAAGTTAAAAAAAAAGGTGAATGTAATAAAAATATTTTTAACACATAAAAATATTAATTAACACCTATTTGCCATTTGTATATTAAAGAAAATAATTGATTCTTGTTTGTTAATTAGGCTTAAGGAGTTACTTTTGTTTATCTCTCACCTAAATTTAATTGATTCTTGTTATTTCATTCTAAATAATTTTATTATTCAATTCACACCTGTTGGGAATACCAATAACCAAGTAAGTTTTAAGCTATAACTCCATTAAAAGTGCACTTCAAACATTTTATAATTGTTCGACATTGCCAGAAGATATTTTCTATTCAAAGTAGAGAGGTAAGTGAAAATTGTGCATTGTGCGCACCAGATTTTTCTTTAGCAATAAATTTTGGTAAAATTTTCTAGCTTATGGATGAATCTGATCTCAGACTCATCCCAGACTTTTTCTAGCTTTCCCAGTCTGTAGACACGCTCTTTATTTTAATTCACTTATTTCAAACCTAAGTCAATTAAAGTTGACTTATCTGCATTTATACACAACACTACAGTAAAGATAATCATATTAAAAAAATACTCACTTATAGCCAAGATAAGAAGTGTAAAAACCTTCACTGTAATACATTTCAGATGGTTCTTTAGACATTGCTAACAATTTCTGTTTTATATTAACGACATTCCATACATGACAACCATTACAAATTTTTAGTGGTAGTTGTGATAAAAAATGATCTCTTTCAATCAGCATATTACTGATTGTTGCCCTAGAGTTTGTTAATTGTAATTCCAAATCTCTGGTCTTATGTTCTAATTGCAAAATTAACTCTTTCATTTTTTGTTCTTGTCTTGTTTTCTGTTCTAATTGTAACTCTGATTCTCTTTGTTTCTGTTCCAACTGAACTACTCTTTCATAAAGGGTCCTAAAAAAAAAAAAAAAAAAATAATAGAGAAATCATATATCAGATATTGTGGCAATAATTATTACTATTATCAAGATACAAGTATTTTGATGGAGGAAAATGCTTCTGATGTTTTGTCTCATCCTTCATGTATCTTTAAACAGATATGAATTTGGATATTTTTAAAACATCAAAGCCCCAATGAAAAGCTTATGAACAAAGAATGAAGGAATGTTAATTTCACAAGCCAAATCCATGTGTCAAAATTTAAAAAAAATATATTTTGTACAAAATGTCTATAACCGGTATATATATTTATGCCATTTGAATAAAAAATTATAACAATTTATTTAAAAGGAAAATACAGTATATTTAGCAATTTAAATACAACAGAACCAGTGGTTGTGATTACAAATATGAAACAAAAAATATCATTTCACAAACGATGTGGGAGACACCACCCCCTTGGGCATCAATTAACTTTATTAACTATAACCATAACCTTGTGATTTATCCTACCTATAATAAGTAATAAGTTTTAGTATTAAGTAATACAGGATAAAAATTACTTACGTAATTAACTGAATTTGAGTAGTACACTGATTTTTTGGAGGAGCCTCCCAGGATTCGGCTTTTTTAGCTATATCGTCTACAACGTCACCATTCAAATTTGATTTTATCTGAAATAAAAATAAAATTTAACAAAATAATACATATCATTTGAATCAGATCCTTAAACCCACCCTAGATAAATGTAGAATAGAAATTTATATTGGTGGTATTAGTGATTTTAAATTGGTTTCAGAAATAAGGCGATTAATGAAGTAAAATATTCTAGTACTAGTTGGCCTGAGTGAAACATTTAATGGTATTTGAGAACAACAAGAGCTTACATTTGGTACTAAACCGATTTCGAGCCTTACTTTATATATTTAATGTATTATCTGCATCATTGTTCGAGAAAATGTCTCTATAGTGGCGTTTCCATCTATCAAGAATTTGTATATCCCTAGTGATTAGTCCACCTCTTTCATTCACATCCTTTATATTTGTTATGGGCTTACTTTTCTTTTCTTTTTTTTTTTTGTATTGCTTTAATTATTTTTCAGAAAATCTTAAAATTTTCATGGTAGTTGTTCTGTAGGCTCCTCCAAAATTTCTTCCAACTCTTCCTTTTTGCCACTCTACCTCATTTCTTGTGCGTAGATAAAGTTCCCAATTTATTGGAGTCTTATCTCTAATATAGTCCTTCCAAGCAGTTTTCTTCCTTTCGACTGCCGCCTTCACACTTTCATCTCATCATTCAGATCTTTTGCTTTTCAGTGATATTTTTGTGATCCCGCAAGTAGTGGTTGCTGAGTCCATTATTGCATTTTTTATTTTCCCCCACAGAACATCCACATTTCCATCCATACTGATTTCCTGGGGTTGCAATTAAGAAGTTATTAATATATTTTCTTTTTTCAAGTGTATGCAGATTCTTAATGTTAATCTTCATATAGCTTCTGAGCCATTTCTTTTTGGGAGAGAGAATTTAAATATCTCCTATAAGGAGAAGGTGGTCTGAGCAGATTTCGACACATCTGATCACAGGGTTTGAATATCTAATTTTCAAAATCTGTCTGAAGATTTTTCTTTTAAATCTGTCAATTTTTTCAGCAGTCACTTTGCTAAACGTCCATATCTCACATCGATACATTATTACAGATCCAACAAGCATCCTGAATAGACTAATCCGGTCCGGTTCAGCAATGTACTTTTGCATAGATTATTAGAGCAAAGTGAAATTTATTTCCTGTAGCTAATCTAGCTCTTATCATCTCATCTTCATTAATAAGGAACCTAAGATAGCTGAAATTGTTGAGAACTTCTAAGATGTAGTTGCTGATAACCAATGTTTTTTCTCCTTAATGCTATTACTTTGTTTTCCCCTCTTTGACACTGAGACCCACACAATCAAGCTTAATAAATCCGTTGCTTACCCTAGCCAAGGATATTCCAATGACCACCACATCATCTGCATATGCCAGTATCCAGGTCATCTAAGTGAAGATAGTTCTTCCTAGGTCTAGTTCAGCTCGCTTCACAATAGCTTGTAAGACAATATTAAATAAAAGTGGAGCTAATGGGTCTAATGGGTGGAGCTAAAGCAAATTTAAAAATCAAATTTAAGATTTTTGACAATCCCAATACTTTCCCTTACTATATATTTCATATATATGTAAAAGTAAGCAAAAAGAGTAGTTGTTTGGCTTACCCAATTCAAACTTGCAATGAAATAACAAAGACAGACACAAGAAAGTTCACATTTCTTCACCGCGCTGCAAGAAATAAAATAGGGAAAAACAAAGATAATGGATCTTAAGAAGTAAATGATCATAAATAAAGGACATCAACGAAATTACCTGGGCATAGGTTTCATGATAGAGAAAAGTCTGAAGTATTTACTTTTGAATTTTAAAGTTTTTACTAAAAGGCTATGTGTAATCCATTTAAGAGGAAGGTTCTTGAATATATCTGTAATAAGTGTACATGCACCAATAGAGAATAGCAAGGATGAGGACAAAGATAATTTTTATGATACCATATCCAGAGAACATGATTTGCTACCTAGACATGATGTAACAATAATAATGGGAGATATGAATGCCGTCGGCAAAAAATTGGCATTAAGGCCCATAATTACCCACACCATACAGCTGTGTGGTGTATGATGGCCTCTCGGTGGAGCTCCGTGATAGACTGAAAAGATTAATGAATAGCTGCATAAGATTTGTTATCGGTGCCCCGAAATACTCCCATGTCTCTCACCACTACACTGAGTTAAGGTGGCTCTTCCCCTCCTTTAGAAGACAATATTTCTTGGGTACATTCCTTTATCAAAGCATTAACAACCATCGTCCTTCTTACACCTACAACCTTCTGAAATTCAAGTCCTCAGTCCATTCCCTTTGAACAAGATCTCGACCTTCTGACCTCTACATCCCTTCACACAGATCTGCCTCATTTCAGAATTCCTTTATAGCTCGCGCTTTCAATTTCTTGAATTCCACACCTAACAAAATTCGGCATTTTGTCTGCATATCCACATTCAAATCCCTCCTATTCCAATTCCTATCCCAAAAACAGTCAGATACTTGCTAAACTTTTGATATGATACATTTCTAGTCATCATCAAATGACAGTGCTATTCTATACTGGGAACTTCACTAGGGATATTACAATATTTTCCGGCTCTTAATACCACTGACCGCATCTATTGTTTTTTTTTTTTATTATTATTATTTTTTATTGGTATATAATTAAATCTGTACCTCTAGCATTTGACAATGATGAGTCTAAATATTAATCATTATTTAAAGACACTGATATTTTATATTGTCAGCTTTATCTTTTCTTTGTTAGCAGAAACACACCTCATTTTAAAGAAGAACTCAATGTATTTTTTATTATTTTATTTTTCAAAAGACTATAATTATAATTTTTCCTACTGTACATAGTCTCAAGTGTTTTATCATAGTTTTAAGTGTTTTGTATATAGATTTTTTTTTTTTTTTTTGTATATAGCTTGTTCAACTAATATTTTCTTTACTTTCTCTTTTTTTATTATTGTTTTATTTTGGCCAGATGTAGTATTTTAATTGTGTCTTTTTTACAATGCATCTTCCCATAACTAAACCACCCTCAGCTCAATCACTAATTGGTATAATCGATATATCACATTAATTATGTTCTACTTTGTTATTCTAAAGAGACTTTGTCCCAGAATAAAGTTATTTTCTATTTCTAATTGGATCACACAGTAAACATGTTGTGTCAAATGACAATGGGCTCAGAATTATCGATTTTGTCATGGAAAAGTGTATGACAATTAGAAGCACATATTTCCAACACAAGGAGAATCATAAGGAAACTTGGATATCCCCAGATGAGAAGATAAGAAATCAAATCTTCCAAATGAGCACATTATCATAGATGGTAAGCATAACTTAGACAGTTTGGATGTGAAAAGTTATCGAGGAGCAGATGTCTACTCTGATCACTTTTTAAATTAGGTACGCTGTGGGCAGAAGTTTGCTAAAAGGAAATGGAGAGGAATTCACAAGATAGAACAGTGAGCTCCTCAAACTGAAAAACTAATCAGAATCATTTAAGGAAAAATTGAATGGAGCCTTGGTGGACATATAAGGAAGCAAAAGTAGGGGAATATGCGATAACTGAGAAGAATTGAAAGTTCATTAAGGAGGACGGCAGAAGAGGTCCTGGGAGTGAGACGGGTTGTTGGCAAGAAGTGAATATTTTGATGAGGAATGTCAGAGGGCATTGAGGGAGAGGAATGAAAATGCTGCAGAGAAATATCAGGCAAACTAACTCTATAACACAAAAAGAATGGCTTCCAAGACTATTTGTAGTTAGAAGAAAAGGATGATGGAAAGAAGCAGAGTGGAAATGGTACAAGTTGAATGGGAAGCAAAGCAGTCCAGAAAGTTTTACAAATGGGTCAGAGAATTTAGGAATTGTTTCCAAATGAGTATAGGTGTTTGAAAAGATAGAGAAGGTAACATAATGGGAGGAACTGCAGAGGTATTGGATAATTGGCGACAATATTTCCAGGAACTTCTGAATGGATATGACAATACAGAGAGGAATCTGCTGCATGGACGTACACAAGAGGAATTGCTCGGTGGTGAGAATGATGTGGAGCCCCCTAATTATGAGGATTTCATGAAAGTGGTTGAAACACTTAAAAACAATAAAACCCAGGATATTATGGCATTGACACAGGAAAGCTGAAATATGGTGGAGAGGACCTACTAAGCAAAGTATAAGAATTGTTGTTGGAGGTATGGGTCGAAGGAAAAATGCCGAAAGAGTGGACGGTAGCTATTATCTGCACAGTTTTCAAAAAAGGAGACAGAACTAAATGCGGAAATTATAGAGATATATCTCTCCTGTGGGTAGTGTATAAGGCATTTTCCTCACTCCTAAATAAAAAATTGCAAGTATGGTCCAAACGTATTCTTGGTGAGTATCAAAGTGGTTTCAGACCAAATAGATCTACAATCGATCTAATATTTTCTGTCAAACAGATGCTGAAAAAATGTAATGAATATAATGTAGATTTTCATCATCTTTTCATCGATTTTAAACAGGCTTACGACAGTGTCAATAGAAGCAAATTATTGCTCTGAAGTCAATATACAAGAAGCACTATCGGAAAAGTTTGCAGTTGAAGATGGCCTAAGGCATAGAGATCTCTTGTCCCCAAGCTTTTTAACCTAGCCTTAGAATATAAAATGCGTGCTATTTGGAAAACACTAATGGCACGATATATAATAGGCTCTCACAGCATCTAGCCTATGCAGACGACATGGTAATATCGGCTAGATCAAAGGCTTCTTTATTGGGGCAGTTGGGGCAGAGGAGTTCAAAAACACTGTGAAAAAGTTAGGCCTTCATGTAAAAGAAGAAAAGACAGTTTATATGAAGTCATCAAGAAATCCACTTGAAAAAATGAAAGAAATGATCAAATTTGGAAGACACACCTTCAGGATAGCAAACCAGTTTAAGAATGAACAACAAGAAATTAAGGCAAGAGTAGCTGGTGGAAACAGGTGCTATTACGATCTTCAAAAGTCCTTAAAATTCAGAGGCCTGACCAATAGAGCTAAGGTCATCTTATACAAAAAAACAGTCATTAGGTCGGTTGAGTCCTATGGCAGTGAGACTTGGGTACTTTCCAAATAAAGTGAAAGAATGTTAAAAGTTTGGGAAAGGAAAGTAAAAAAAGAATATATGAACCTGTCTGCGAGAACAGCAACTGGAGAATAAGAAAGAATGAGGAGCTGAAAGAAATGATCCAAGAACCAGATCTGGTTTCTTTTGTTAGAAAGAATCAGTTGAGATGGCTGGGACATGTAGAGTGGGTGCCGGCGAGTATGAAACCCAAAAAATTGTTGGATGGTAAGCTTGGAGGAGGAAGAGTTACGAGATGTACACGATTAAGATGGTCAGATAGGTATCAGAGGATGGAGAAGACTCGTCCAGGATAGGGAAGAGTGGAGTAGGATTGTAGAGGCCCAAGCCCTTGTAGGATGCCATGGAATAAGTAAGTAAGTAGAAGTTAAATGTTTGCCATTGCAGCAAGGAATAAATCAATTCAGAACTAGACACCTTATAAAAGTAAATCCAAAGCATGATAGCACATTTGCTTCAGGTAATGTCTCTTTTTACATAGCACCTCTTAGTGCTAATAAAAGGTGCATTTTGTTAAAAAAAAATGTTTAGTAAATAACTTACAAGTATGCTCCTAATTTACTTACATTTTCATGACTTTCAACTAAATGTTTCTCTAAATCAAGTAATGGTGTGATGGTTTCACAATTAGGAAATGAACACCTAACGATTTGCTGAGTTATTTCTCTACGAGTATAGTTATCAGGAAAAAGGTCCCTTTCTTGAATTTTATTCTGATCAACAGGACACCACTCTCTTTTCTTATTTCTGCAACATAAATTAAAGATAAAGTGGTTAAGTTAATCAGTTATTGAAAAAAAATGAGAATTAGCATTTTTCTTTATGTTCTTTGCTTATACAATGAAAAAATAGAAAAAAAAAAAGCTTTGAAAATGTTAAAACCAAGCCCCGAGTACTACACAAAATACAAAGTCATTAAGTTCTAAAGAGGAGAATACAAATTTATTTATTTTAAATAATAAATAAAGTGTTGTTTATTTAGGTCAAACTTCAATCTCAACTAATTAAAGTTACAATAATGAAGAACCAGCCATAAGTTAAACTATCTAAATAACTTTATTAAATCAAATAAGAAAGTGAAAAAAAAAGTCATTCAAAAAGTAATGTAAAATAGAGAAAAATATACCTTATCCATTCTAATATGCAATCTCGACAAAAACGATGTCCACACTTGGTTAGAAAAGGATCCTTTAAACAATTTAGACAGATAGGGCATTCAAATCTTGGTTCCAATAGTGATATTCGTTTTTCATTGTCAAATCTACTGGAGCCCTAAAAAATATTTTAGATAGTAATATTCAAAACCCAGATTAAATCAAATCGTATTTCTAAAATGTAACTTACATTGACAATATTTTCTTCGGGGTCCATTGCTCAATTTTTCAAAAGTAAAATGGTCAAGATTAATATACAAAAGAAATCTTGATTTAAGTATTATCTAAATAAACATAACACTCGTGTAATATGAGGGTAAATAAAACAGGGTTCAAACAAGTAGTAAAATTCAATTAGTCTAATGATGTTAAGCATTATTCATACTAAAATTAATAAAATAATCTCTATAGTCAATCTTAATCAGTACAACTGATTAATACAGTAAGTTATCACGAACGCCAAAAGGAATGAATGCAAGGAGTTCACAGAATACACTTACAAAGAACAAACATCTATCACTTCCCCTTGAATGGTGCAGAAATTAAATTACCAATGCATTGTTAATTATTTTATTTTCTATAAAGTTAATTTTATTATCAAAATAGCTATTACCCGCAGCTTTGCCCATGAATTTTTAATCTCCGCTATTACGTTCAATCTAGCCTAGTAAAATACTTAGGTTTAACGAGAAATAGCCAGCAGATCATATGGTAACAGACACGAAAACCGTCAAATGTACTTGATATAATGTGGAAAATTTTAACTTTATATAGACCGGGTGGTCTTCAAGTCCTCCTTTCAGAACTGGACAAATACAGACTTGACATTACCGCTCATCAGGACATCCGCTGGACCGGCCATGGGCTGTTGGAGAAGAAATTCCAAACAATATATTATAGCGGTCAGCGAGAAGAATCACTCATTTGGCACTGGGTTCGTTGTGAGAGGTTGGATGAGACAATAAGTTATTCGATTTAATCCTATTAATGATCGCCTATGTTCCATCCGCATCAAGGGAACCTTCTACAATTACCTGCTCTTTAGCTGTCATGCACCCTCAGAAACCTCAAGCGACGATGAGAAAGACGCCTTTTATGATTACCTGGAGCGAGCCTTTGATGCTCCAGATCCGATATTAAAATCCTACTGGGCGATTTCAATGCAAAGATTGGAAGAGAAGATACATTTAAACCCACGATTGGCTTATTCAGTTTGCATGAGGGAAGCAATGAAAACGGCAAGAGGGTCATTGATTTTGCAGCACCGAGAAATCTAGTAGCTGGGAGTACTCTATTCCCGGACCGGCGGATTTACAAGGTTACATGGAAATCACCCGATGGTGTTACTCATAACCAGATTGACCACGTCTTAATTAGTGCACGTCACAAATCCAATCTCCTGAGTAGTAGAACTTACAGGTGAGCAAATGTTGACTCTGACCATTACCTTGTAATGTCAAGAATTAGAGCCAGGATTGCCACCGTCAGGAGTCAAAGGACTGAAAGATCCAAAAGGTGGAACATCGGAAAGCTGAAGGACTCAGAAAGCTGCCAAGCATTTCACCAGAAAATGGAAGAATTGGTGAGAGACGGGCTCAGAGTAGCTGACGTCGAAAGTGTACAGGATGTCTGGGACCAACTGGAAAAGGCTTTAGACGGCAGAGCAGAACAAATCCTTGGGAAGGAGGTTCTTGAGGGTCGAGGTAAATGGTTCGACGAGGAGTGTAAGCTGGTCAATGATATGAAGAATGAAGCTTACAGAAACATGCTAAATAAGCGCTTCACCACGGAGGAATATAGAAATAAACAAGGCTGGAGAAGAAACCCCTCAGGAATAAGAAGAGAGCATGGGAGAGAAAGGTGCTGGAGGATATAGATGCCCATTGGAGTGTAAAAGAAAGCAGGAAATTCTTCCAGAAGGTCAATAGTGGACGTGCCGCTTTTAAGCCTAGGATACAAACATGCATGAAAGAAGATGGAACACTGCTTATCAATAAGTTGGATATACTGGATCGGTGGGCTAGGCACTTCCGTTTGTTATTAAATGAGGAAGCGGTTATAGAAGATATAGAGGCTGGCGACATTGCTTGAGAAGATGTGCCTAACAATCTTGGAGATATCGAGTCCCCGGACTTTGAGGAAGTAATGGATACAATCCTTCGCATGAAAAACAATAAGGCGCCGGGACCGGATGAATTGCCAGCCGAGCTCTTCAAGTATGGGGGAGATGAGTTGCATAGAGCACTGTCCGATATAGTCCTGATAATTTGGGATCAGGAAAGAGTGACACGATAGTGCACTAATGCTATAATATGTCCACTCCATAAGAAAGGAGACCAACTTGATTGCACAAATTACCGTGGCATAGCTCTGTTGTCTTGTGCTTACAAAATCTTCTCGAATATCCTTTTCAGCAGACTTACCCCATTTGCGGAGTGGGAAATATCAAGCTGGCTTCCGGAAAAGCAGATCCACTGTTGATCAAGTGTTCACCCTTAGGACAATTTCGGAACGGAGTCATGAATATAAAATTCCTACACACCACATGTTTGTCGACTTTAAGAGTGCATATAAACAGCATCAAACAACCTAAGCTGTATGAGGCATTGGGAGAAATGGGTATCCCATGCAAACTGATATGTCTCGTGAAGTTAACAATGAAAGATATATGTGTCAGGTACGGATTCAATCTGACTGCTCTGAAGCATTTCCCTCCAACAAAGGATTAAAACAGGGTGATGGACTGGCTTGTCTCCTCTTCAATCTTACACTGGAGAAGGCTTTGCGGGATTCAGAAATCCAGACGGACCACACGATATTCACCCGTACTGTACAGATATTGGGATACGCTGACGATCTGGATATCGTAGCCAGGACACGATCAGCATTGGTAAAGGCCTTTAGGAAACTAATGGACGCTGCTTCAGCCATCGGATTGGCCATAAACTAGGAAAAAACGAAATACATGCATACAGGGACTGGTGGCGACGAGGAACTGAGTTTTGGCCCTTACACATTCCAAAGGGTGAGCGAGTTTACGTATTTGGGATCTCTAGTAACTCCAATAAACGATGTCTCCGCTGAGATAAGGAAAAGGCTGGTGGTAGCAAATAGAGCATATTTTGTCTTACTGAAAACTCTCCGTAGCAGTTCCATTACCAGGGGCACTAAACTGGTCATATACAAGACTCTTATACGCCCGGTCCTTACCTATGCTTCCCAATCCTGGACCATCTCAAGAAGTGATGAAAATAATCTTCTGATTTTCGAAAGAAAAATCTTATGTCGAATAGTTGGCCCAGTGAGAGATGGGGATGAATGGAGGATTAGGAGGAACCGAGAGCTTTATGAACTTTACGGAGATATGGACGTTGTAAAGTTTATAAAGCTAGGGAGGCTCAGTTGGGCTGCTCATGTTGCAAGGATGGAAGCGGAAGAAATTCCTAGAAGTGGTAGGCCAAGGCTTCGATGGGTTGATGGAGTGACAGCGGACGCGCGGAGCCTGTTACGGATCAGAGGCTGGAGAGCGGCAGCACAAAATCAGGCGGAATGGCGGCGGCTCATTGAGGCCAAGACCCACCCAAGGTTATAGCGCCACGTAGATAGATAGATAGATAATTACCAATTACTTCATAGTAAACTAGACAAAATGTACTTCAAATGATAGTGGAGTTTGTCATTGATAAAATAATTCAAAGAGGACTTTTGAGCAGTGAAACTAAACTATGTACTGTTTTTGTTTGTTTTTTTCAAATAATATGTGACTTTTTTTTCACTTTCCAACTTTATAACCAAATTTTAGAAAAACTTTCTTATTTAAAAGCTTTATGGTCATATTAATTTTAAGGTTTATTACGAAATAAGTTGAGATTCATCTAAAGTTGTGTAAACAAATTATGTGATTTGATATCCTGTCACTTAAAGGGCCCATAGGTCAATATTGTTGAGCCAATATTATTGAAGAAATATAATTGAAGGCAATATATTGAAGGGGTGTATCGCACACGGGTCAATTATATTGAGTCAATAATATATCAGTTAGAATCTTGGTCAGTGTTGCCGCGCGCTCTTTGACAAATCCTCGTACCTCCTCCTCGAACGCTTTTTCATTGAAAATTCGTATTATTGTAGGTTCAATGATATTGTTTATTTCTAAAAGTAAAATTAAATCAGAGCTTTGCTTAGTAGCTTTATCCTTATATTTAAAAGCTTTCTTACAGTTTTTTTTTTTAAAGTCAATGGGTCAAGAAGTAAAATGAGTTTAATTAAAGGCACGACATTAAATATATAAGAAAAAGTATATATTTTTAAAAACTATTATAAACTTTCTATAGAAATTAAATTAGAAAAATAAACATATTAAGACATAAAATATTCCTATAATTATTAACGATAAATGGAAAACACATTATTATGATTTCATCGAAGTTCAAAACAAGGTAAAATATAATTAATAAATAGTAATTTTTTATTATTAAATTTTTGTTTTTATTTTGCTTACTTACTTAGAGCTATTTAAATTAATTGTGAAACAATCGTAGTTTTATGAAGGATATACTTTCTTATATTTTATTTTGTATTCGATAAAAACCGATTTTTTTTTTTATAATGATGGTAAGAATTAAAAAAAAAAATGTTTTTCTTAAAAATTAAAAAAACAAACATATAAATATATACAATCATGGTTTTATGAAGGAAATAATAATCATACCCTAATTAAAGAAGATATAATTGGAATTTATTTGTCTTTAAAGCAACAGAAGTTTAGTATTACATATTAATATAAATAATAACACAGTAAAAACAATCGTAAAACAGTTATTAAATTTTATATACAAAGTATCACCCACCTACCCAAAAATATTTCCATTTTATCTTTTAAAAAATAAAATCGGGGAGAAGATTAACCTCCACCCCTCCTCCCCCCCCAAAAAAAATTAAAGTAAAGCAAATTATGATCCATATACCGAAACATATGTACATCCGTTTATCTTTTAAAAACTAAATCGGAGGTAGAGTTAAATCCCTCCTCCCCCTAAAAAAAAAACAAATGAAAGTAAAACAAAGTATCACCCATCTACCAAAACGTATATCATTTTATCTTTTAAAAAATCGGAGATGGATTAATCCTCGCTTCCCTCCAAAAAAAAAGTAAAGTCTAGGGTCTCCTTCATAGCAAGAATGATTATTTCTTCTCTTGTAGTTTCATTCCTGATTCTATCCCTGCGTGTTTTTGGGGCCACTCTGCGCAAGTATTTCATCTCGGCTGCGGTTATTCGGCTCCATTTGTTGTCCGGTAGGATCCAGCTCTTTGCTCCATACAGCAGAATAGGTAAATATACGGCCTCGAAAATGTGGAGCTTCACGTCTTTATTTACCTCTCTCGTTCCTAAGACCGCATTGCTAATGGAATAGTAAACACTATTAGCTTTT